TAAAACAAATCGGTAATGAAGTACAATATCGGAATGATCTTTGAAAAACCTCGACAGATTTTCACTCACTTTTTAACCAAATGAGAATGTAGACTTTGTAAGTAACTGGCTTTTTGAGGAAAAAAAACAATTATGAATTGAAGAAACGGTGGTTTATAAACACGTCCTTATGAACAACAATTATCAATCATCTCCAATGCTTATAAAGACTTAGATAGATTTTCAAAAGTCTTTACATTTTATTCTTGGTTAATGTTAGGTATTTATACGAAGGAGTAAAGGTTCACCGTTGGAATTTAGGATCAGTATCGATCTATGCGTGGAATATAATCTACAAAGGAGAAATTAAACATTTCATATGTTTTCGATTGATATTTTTACTTTATGGTACCCCACATTATTTACTGCTTTCATTTTTAATTGTTTTAAACATTATCCAAAAGTACTTTGGATGTACTCATCTCTACCCTGGACATTTTACTTCTCCATTTGTAAATTTGATAAGAATATAATAGCACTTCAGAAATGTTACTTACTTACTTACGCCTGTAACCCCTAGTGGAGCATATCCTGCCAACCAGCATTCTCCAACTTCCATCAGCAACAACGAACTGTGGGAGAGAACAAGTCAGATTCCGGTGGACGATGAAATCAGGAAGAAGCGGTGGAAGTGGATAGGACACACACTACGAAAAGCACCTAACTGCGTCACGAGACAAGCCCTCGCATGGAACCCTCAAGGCAAAAGGAAAAGAGGAAGACCAAGGAATACATTACGCCGAGAAATAGAGAAAGATATGAGAGGAATGAACAAACATTGGACAGAACTGGAAAGGGAAGCCCAGGACAGAGTTGGTTGGAGAAAACTGGTTAGCGGCCTATGCTCCATTGGGGGTAACAGGCGTAAGTAAGTAAGTAAGCATTCTCCAACTTACTCTGTCATGGGCCTTTCTGTCTAGTTCTTCCTAAATGCTATTCATTCTTGTCATCTTTGTTTCTAATTCTCGATGCAATGTCTTCGTAGATCTACCTTTTTACCTTTGACCTTGAGGGCTTTAAGTTAGGGCTTGTCTCTTGATGTAGTTGAGTGACTTCAACAATGTTTGTCCTATCAACTGCCAGTGTTTTTTTACCCACTTTTTTCCTCACCTGGAATCTGATTTGTTTTATCCCATAGTAAGCTGTTGATGATGATGTACCATAATAATATGAATATTTTCCAAGAAGTAAATATATGTATCAGCTGTCAGAATTACATGAAATGCTATTATATTGAGAAACGGCCAGAATGACTGCATCCTAAACACATTGTTTCAATCAAAATGTATTTTTATCTTTACAACGTTCATTAGTTAGTTCTGCATTGTTCCATAGAATTACATTACATAAAATATTCTCATAGGAACAATTAAAAAAAACCTAGTTGAATGTACAAATGTATCTTTCGAAATGGAATATTGCATGTGTCATTTAATATTTCTTTCCGTTTGTTCATGTTTTTATCTAAAAACACGTAACTGTTCGTGCACAGGGGCACCTAAATATTTATGAGATACACAAATTATTGAATTTGTGAGCGGGTTGAAGTACTGTCCCGTCTCCCTAACTAAAAAGAAAAAGAGTTTTCCTAAGGAGTCACACATCGAGAATTTGACTCGAATGTCTAATCCATAAAGGCAGTGGAGCAACTTTAAAAAAATGCAGTAGTTTAATATATAATTTACTCCTTCAGCATCATAGAGCTCATGTGCACCATCGGTTTTCAATGAAGGTTTCTAAGCTCCTCTAAGTGGATCCTCCATACTCACGAACCTAGTCAAAGTGCCAAACACTCACTTTTCATCTGCTCAATTTCTTAAACATCACCTATGCCTTGAGAAGACAATGAATAGGATTTCTCTGACAATAGCTTTGCACTCGTGGCTATATGGTAGCATTCGGGAAGAGAGAGAGGAGTCTCACTTCACTCTCGCAGCATATTTCCTATCTAGGTTTTCTTCTACTTATTGTACATTCATGTTAGTCAATTGAAATAATACCATTGTTTGATTTTAATGTCCGTAGTTGTGAATAGGTTTCTATATAAATTTTTTTATTTACCTATTTAACAAACGTTCATATCTTTTGAAGCTTAGATGGTGAACGAAATTTTGATCTATCCATTTTTAATTAACACCTATGATTTCTCATACAACTAGGTACCAAATTTGTAAACTTCATATTTTTGTGCTTGACCTGAGTGTCAGACTGAAGTAAATGGTTTTCTTAGGGGATCACTCTCCGAGGCTTTGACTTGGAGTTATAATACGTAGGGCGATAGATGATTGTCAAGGTGTAAGGTCTCGTTGTATCCAACAACTAATACGTGTTCATACTCTATTTGTTTCCCAACGATCCTGGAATTGATGTACAGAATTTATTTGTACTCAGGGTTTGTTATCTCCCCTAAGTAGATCCTTTGTATCCATCTACTCAATTTAGATTTTGGATGTTAACTTTTAATCATCCCACTTTGATAAAACCACCCTCTTCACTTGAAAATAGTGAAAAGGATGTTCCTGGCAGAAGCTATAAACGCATAGCTATATAAGAGCATTTCAAGCATTTCAAGGAGGGATGTAATCTCACCTTTCCCACTTGATTTTATCAGGTGATTTGAAGACTAAATTGTAGATTTACATTCAATCAAATTATTTTGTTATGTTTCAGTGATTTAAGCGTCAAATAATTTGCAACATTGGAAACTTTGACGACTGGACTGAATTGTTATACTGTCGGTGTGTGACAGACAGTGAAATTTAAATATTCTAACATTCACAATGTTATCGTTATAGAGTTGCGGAGATTGTTGAGTTTCATTGGAAGCCTGAACTGATTGATGCCGCGCTCAAGACCGAAGGTCCCATGTTCGAGCCCTGCGAGGTGCAGGAGTCGTAATGCGCAGTCCTGATGAGTCCCATACCAGGATGAAACAGTCTTCCAGTGCTTCCAGGTTTCTAATGGTGGTCTAACAATGATTGATTGAGCGATGGTTTCAATGTCCAAAAAACAATAATCTCCATAACTCTAATCGCAGAATTTTCATCAGCGTAACAAAGTGATGTATGGGTATTCTAAGTGTTCAAGACATTTGCGTTCATAGAATAAACCGGTTAATTATTATGGCAACTGAGCGATTATCTTACTCGATATTCAACCACTAAGGTGTACTTACGAATCCTACCACGATTGTTTCGGATGATTATATAGCCGTGCAGTCATGTAAACTGTTCGACAAATATACCTCAAAATTGCACACAGTGAGTGTGTACTTGATAGTAAAGTATTCTGTGCAGTAGACCTCTCATATTGTTTTATATTCATGCGTTTTAATAGTATTGCTCATTAGATAATTTTTTTAAAGCTTTGTTTGAATGCAACAGAATTGACAATTTAAATTTATTTACTCATAACACATTGATGTACGTTTGGTGTATGTGAAGGGTAGTTGAAATTGAACATGATTTGAACCACATTTAACGTGAAAACCAACCAATCGTATAACATATATGTGTATACCTATGGTCAGTTGTTATTAATCAGTTCAAAATCAATCTGGTTATCTTGTTTTTATTAATTTTTGTACACCTACATTTAATCATGTAACAGTAAATATTACAAACAAATCATTCAATTATCAATTATAGTTAAAATTCTTTAAACTAGATAATTGATCAAACTAGATAATAGATATATAAATAAAATGTTATTTTATACAATTGATGATTAGGGGTACATTTTGAAATAATTTTTGTATCAATCAGTTATAAGGAAATTATTGTTTACTGGTTAGCGATTCGTATAGTAAGGTGAGTTTTCTATGCGATAGAGTTGTTAAACCTATGCCCATGCCTGCTCTTTAATCTGGGCTTAGGACTGGCACTAGAACGGTTTCAGATGGAGCGATTGAAGACAACTGGGAAGGAGGGCCGTGTACAAAGATGATTGGAGATTTCTTGGTTGGTGACCTATGTTCCACGTGGGATAACGGGCGCCAGTAGGTCATATGGAAAATGAAACCTGGGACATATATACATCGATTGTTTTTACAATATATCAACACAGAGAGATAAGAGATCTTTGTGGTTGAGACATGTGTTACGTATGCCCAACCACCTGTGTGCCTCGATGAGCGATGTTGTCTGACGTAGGTAGGGCTAGGCTGGAAGAAATTGGTAGGGGCATAAATCCATGACAACTAGACTGAGCCAATGTTAGTATGTGTAGACTATCATGTTGGGGTCCGCGAGACAATAGTAACCGATAGTTAGAGACCTTAGACGTAGCTCAAAATCCTTTGCAGTGGCGCAGACGCATCTGTACTTTGTGTTCTACGTTGTTGATAACTGAGGTTTAAACGAATGAAAAGTGTCTCTCTCATTTTGAAAAGAAACATTTAACTAGTGTGGTGTGATTATATATATATAATTAGTGCTTGAGGTGTTACATAACGTTCTCAATGTTCAGTAAGTTTGTTATATTTAACATTCAACAGACAGTTTCCCGTTCATTCAATCTGTGACTAATGTATATATGAGTGCAACCATCATTTTGTATATCATTTCAAATGTCTGTAGATGTCCACCACTATCTTCCATGTAAATAAATGTTAGTGTAGTGTAGTCCAACCTCTTAGATAGGAAACATAAATATAATCAACACATTCATTCAAAATTAGTAACGTTGTGGATAACTTCTCAACTAATCGTACAAAGCCAGATTACACAACATTGATTGGTCATTTTTGAAAGTGAAACAACACTTACGTAGTCAAAATGGTGGCTGAATTCCATACCTATAATGTAACCCTTTTTAACAATGAATATTCTCTAAGTGTGTTTTATTTTTAATATAGACGAAGTTTAAATCTCTTTCTTTTTTTATCGAAATAAACCAAACACTATTCAATATTTCAATAATTAAAAATATAATGTTCAATTTTCTGTTTAAAATTTTCCTAGGTGGTATGATTTATATGTTTCCATTGATAAATAGTTCAATTCATGTTGCAATGTATACTTATTATGGCTTAGCCGCTGCTGAAGCATATCGTTATTTATGGTGGAAAAATTATTTAACTTTAGCGCAAATGATTCAATTTGTCATTTTTATCCTTCATCAAGGTCAAGTATTTGTACGGTCTACACCATGCAATTATCCGAAAATATTCCCAGCTGTAGTTGTACTATACGCTACGATATTTTTAATATTATTCTCTAATTTCTATATTAAAGCCTATTGGCATAAACAACGATTGGCTAAAAGTTTAAAAGAACAACATCGACACCAAGAGAATGGTATAATTAAACAACAGACCAATGGTTACGGACCTCGTATGAATCAGTCAACGGTGCGGAAAATGGATTAATGTTCAGTGTTTTCGTTCGTGAAGTTCTGCGTTTTTTTTTCCTGCTTTTGTCTCTGTAATAAAAAGCTGTTTATTTTTTCCTCTTTTCACTTCTTTTCAAGCATATAATATGTTACTTCTGTTGTGTAACGTTTTTTCCTTCAGTTTCTGCACTTTCAATAGATGTAATGTAATATCACCTACCTGACTATTATTTTCTTGTATATCACATGACTTGGAGAGATGATGTGATGAGTTCGTTTTTGAAATTTTATTGTAACGACCCACTCACTGGCTTGACTGTTGTAATCTTTGAATGTATGCTTTATACATATGGTAGTGAATGTTTTTGAAGCGTTGTAATTTTGTGTAGTTGATCACTATTAGTTTACATAAATAAATAGGCTGGTTGAGGGCTTTCATTATCCGTTTTCAGCTAGATTACTACAATACACACACCTATCCATCATTGGGTATTTTTGTATGAGGAGAATGTTTGTGTATGTGTATGTGTGTGTGTGTTTGTCCATGAATCTCCTCATATTTATTAGCTGTTCTTTACAATTGCTGTGAGATTGTATAAATTGTGTATAAACTGTGAGAAGTACTATATAATATATATATCATAAAATATTTTATGTTTGTATATGTATAATAAAGAATTTTTGACTTTCACTTATTGTTCATATTTGTGTTAAACTTTCCAAAGATAGCATATATTAACTTGATAATGTTTATTAAAACTTTTGAACTGTCGATTTTATAGATGAATTTCAGGTTTAGAGATCATCGGAATTGGATATGCACGTGAACAATTAACAATTGCTGACCCGAAACGACGGATAAGGTCGTTCACTATGGTGGATTGATTGAAGTTAGACGTAGACGCTGTTGAATACCAGTTAAGTAGTTTAGTAGTTAGGAATTCGTTCGCGAGATCGAAGGCCCTGAGTTCGATTCCCGCCTACAGGGTGATGGATATATGCACTGCTGACAAGTCACATATTAGGACGAAACAGTCGTCCAGTGCTCCCATGATTTTAATAGCAGCCTGACATTGATTGATTCATGATTTCAAAGGAAATCAACAATCTTCACAACCCTATTATGACAAATGCTGAAAAAGTCATAAAAAAGAGTTTTATATGCTTTTAAATAGTCACTTCTGTATGACTCTAAAATATGATTTCTTTTGGATGCCAAGTATCTCGCTGAAATAATCTAATTTAACTTCATAGATATAATATAGGTCACTATGCATGAAGAATTATATATAGATTATTCCTTTTAAAGAAAGATATGATTATAAATTAATAATAGTTTAGTTACCCATGAAAATCATGGCCATTGGGAAGCTATTTCCTCCTAGTATAGACCGTTTCATTAGCGTACAGGGATACATATTGTTTTGAAGCTAAACACTCTTCTTGATAGGCTGGAGAATGTAGTTATATGACATCCCGGTACTAACATAGTATCTTATGGTCAAGCACTAGGGTAAGATCATCAATAAAACACTCTACTGGAGAAAGCTGATTATGCAATTAGTCAAGGCCTCACACTAATTTCTTAACTTGGTCAGATAGGAAGATGTGTCTGTGTACACTGATCATTTGTGTACCACTTTATCACATATAGCAGTTTTAGCTTTCTAGGCATCCAATACTTCATGATTAAACTACGATCATAGGCATGTATATAGTCTGAAAGATTCATCATGATGAATGTGTATTGAGTTCTGTGAGTTCGTAAAGGGCATGCGTTTGAATTCGACTATTGCTGGTTGAATAATTAACTGTGTAAGGAGTATGTATGTACGTAGGACTTAAGTTAGACATCAACACATAGATTCTTCAAAATTCTACTGTGTACAGATAAATAAGTAATATCTTATTCAACACTACTCACGTTACATATACACCCACAAGAAATTAATGTCCATTGAGTATTTCATCTCACCAGTGAAGTGATTTAGACTCCAACGATACCAAATTATTATCGTACGTTAAAATAGATCGTCTCATACTTTTAAATATTAAACTTTTAGATAACAGATAAATTGAAAAGGAATTTGCTTTAATTAGTATTAATCAAAGCAGAAAATAGTCAGTATACTGAATTTTACAAAAATGTATTCTTTTTACAATAAACAGAAAAGAATTCACTTAGTCATTAAATTTAAATATTTCTAGTTTGTGATTTGAATGATGGATGGCGGTCGAAAGAGAATAATGAGTGGTGCGCGCTACTCATAAGTAGTATATGACGTGAGTGTAAACGTAATGTCTGGCAGCAGAAGATGGGGGAAGATCAAGGAAGGAAGAGTGGGAACACAATAGGATTTGTATGAAACGCATGAATAGTGAAATGTCAGACAATGGATTGAAGATTAACGGTTACGATATGGTTTTCCTATTTTACTGAGTAACTGTGTAATTTTCGTTAAATACAATTCGGTTGCCCTCACCTGTGTTCTCCTTCACTACAGCTTCTTTTTACACATGCAAACATAACAGAAACTGAATGTTATTAGGATATTTATTCTCATGAATATAAACTAATCTATGATGATGTTTGAGATCTGAACATGATACGCGTTAACCCTAACCCAAATTGACTATTTGGGTAAAAAAAGTATGAGTGGAAGAGAAAGTCTATTTGGATATCGAATCATGTATGTTACCATATTTCTTAACCAATGATATGCATTCGTCCTTTAGGACATTTCTGGTGGTCATCAAATGACCTTATCCAGCCACTTCTGAATGCTTCTCTATATTGTAATCATACTAGCTGGTTGTATGTGGTATGTTTATAGTTACAATAAATTTCCAGTTGAGGTGGTTGGGACATGTGTTGCGTATGCCTAACTACCGACTGCCTCGAAGAGCTTTGTTTTGTAGTGTAGGAATAGGTTGGAAGAAAGTTAGGGGCGGTCAGCAGAAATCCATGAAGTCATTGACTAGTGGACTGAGTCATGTCGGTAATTGTCGACTACCTGGTTGGGGTCCGCGAGATGATAATAATCGATGGCTAGAGACCTTGAATGACATGGCTCAAAATCGTTCGCAATGGCACCGGTGCATTTATTCTTTGTGTTCTTTCAAATCCTAATCTTCTAGGTTCTTCAACAACTCTACTTTTGACTTACTAAACTCTTCTTATTAAATCATACTTCTTGAATAATATCTTCTCATCCTAACCTCTCTGATTACTTCTAATACCCTTACTAACTCTTCTACTATTGGATTTGAATTGACAATTACATCTCTGTGCTGATGTGGTATGGCAACATGAACTGATGTACTTACGTACGAAGTTCTACGTTGCATCTGACTGACTGACTGCTCAGTGGATAACCAGTTGATTTTTGCCGTGAAAGTTATTGGATTCAAGTCAGAATATAAATATCGAAAATGAGAAATAGATAAATTTAGCTATTGAGTCCAAAGTAAGAAGACGCATGCATTGTGATATTCACTACTAGCAGCAATTCAGTTTTTACGATCAGATTTTCACGATGAGGTTGTTGAGATTGTTGAGTTTCATTGAAATTATGGAGCAATTAATGTTGGACTACGATTAGAATCCTGAAAGTTCTGGATGGTCGTTGCATCCTAGTATGGGACTCATTAGCATTGTTTACACACAACGCCTGATCGCGTGAATCGAACTGAGGAACGTCGGTCTTGCGCGCAAACGCTAACCTCTAGGACAAAATGGCCATCTAGTGCCTAAAGGTTTCTAATGGTGGTCTAACATTGATTTATTCACGATTTTAATGCAACTCAAGAATCCCCTCAACCGCATAGTGAAAATTAACATATGCTCACTAGTGACTAGCTCCCTGATGAAATTCCTCTGAGTCCTAGTGAGAAGTCGTGACCAGTGGAGTGTGTGAAGCAGTGCTCTTCGAGGACAGTGGACGAGGTTATGCAAGACCGTGGATTGATCGAAATTAGACACCAACACCGTTAGATGTCGACTCACCAGTTGAGAGGTCAAGCATTCGCGCGCGTGACCGAAGGTCCTAGGTTCGATTCCCGCGAGCGCCATGCTAGTGCTACTTAATTGGGTTCTCTGTGAAAATACTTTATGACAGATTGTTGGTTATAAACAATCTTCGTTGAAATTGTCAATTTTTACTAAGGAAATGAATCACCTCAATAAAATTAAGGCTTGTCTTATAATAGACCCGTGATCAACGTACTTCAACGTACAACAACAAAAGTATTTGTTTGCAATATTCATACACGGTTTGTTCGTTTTCATCCATATGGATGAAGTCATTTCACACGAAAATGCAAAATGCTCTGTTTGATTAGTTTGTTAGTAAAATTTGGGCCACTTGATTGAAGTTTTTCTCAGTATTAGAATTTCAGAGTTAAGATTAAAGAATGATGTGGATTTTCCTGTTTTACTGAATCTAAAAAGACAAAATTGGACATATGATGATGCATTTTACAATCTTAGTTATATTATATATTGGTGGAAAGTGATTTTTTCGATATCATTTTCAACATTATGAACAGTATACAACGACATGTCTGATACTCGTTATTTCATTGATTTTTTTAAAACTCAAATGTTGATACAAAAAGTCGCCTAAATATTTAGAAACTTCACTAATCAATCAATTTACCTGTGCGCTAGGATACTGTGCCGGAGCTAAAACCGAAAAAGGTGTTTTTTTCCAAGTGGCCCACTTCACGAGCCTTTAACCTACAGGTCAAATCCACAAACCAGTATAGCAACATCGGAAGATGTTGTTACATGGTAGCCAGTGACTAACATTACGTTCATACGCTACTAGTTTTCCCTTCGAGCATCCTGTAAATCATGTGCAACATTGGTTTGGAATCAGGGTTTTCCAACTGCCCTAGGTTGATCCTCCAAACCCATCAACTCGTTTTGAATCCTGATGTCTCAATTTCCTAAACAATACTTGTGTCCAGGAAAGGAAATGAACAGGTCTTCCTTGACATTTATTATATACTAGTGATCGTGTGAAGGCATTTGGTGGCTGTGTTTGGCTTCAGGAATGATATTTGAATTCCAAGCAAAAGGGTAAAATAATTACCGAAGAAATGAGTGAGGTTGTGCAAGACCTTAGACTGATCAGAGTTGATATTAACACCGTTGAATGCCGGCCCAATGGTCTAGAGGCTAGTTGTTCATGCGGGATTGAAGGTTCTGGATTTGATTCCTGTGAGTAGCAGGAGTCGCGGATTCGCACTGTCACTGATAAGTCTCATACCAGGATGAAACAACCGTTCAGTGCTTGTAGGTTGCTAATAGTAATCCAACAATGATTGATTCATGATCTCAGTGACAAACACAATCCCAATAACTCTATAAAGAAAAAATTTCAGTCCCCTCTTTGTCAGTCCGAAGACACTCATTGTATATGTTTAGTTCAGAAATTATTAGAAATTAATCAGGAGTTATGATTGCTGTTTTATAAAATACACATCAATTTTTTGAAAAAATGCGACTCATCTCATTAATACGTTTTCTTTTTAACACAATCAACTGATTTAGTTAAGTTTAGGATGATCATATAGGTTTAAAAGGACATGTTTTTGATGAAACTTAACAGAGGGTAGTTTATACTGTTCTTGTTTACTTAGTTTACACAAGTCATCAAATGAAGTTGAATACAGTATTTTAACTG